GGGGGATCAGGTACTTACCTATGCCCAGGAGACTAAGTACCTTGGCATCACTCTGACGCCCTCCTTGGAGTGGAAAACCCACATCAAAGATAAGATTGCCAAAGCCAAGGGCAAGCTGATGCGTCTCCGCACTGCCATCAGCATTCGTTGGGGACCCAAGCCCTATCTTATGGACTGGGCTTACAAATGTATAGTGCTGCCTGCGCTCACTTATGCATCTTCCGTGGGGCTCCGGTAACCTCACACCTTACCGTCCTGCGCTGACGAAACTTAATCATCTAGCCATGACAGGCTTAGGTCCCATGCATCTTAAAACTCCCACTGCTGGCCTTGAGTTAATTACCAAGACTCCTCTTGATCTTCTTATCAAAAAGCTTGGGATTTTGACGTACAACCATCTTAAACCCATCCTCCCCGTCACCTGGGATGGTTTGGGTGCTCGTCGCACTGGGACACATTCGCACCTGGAATGACCTTGTTACTCGCGACAAAATCAGACTCGGTCCTCCTGACCGTGGCTGCCATACCTACCACTGGCAGAAGTTGCTCCCTGAGCAACCCCCTGACAGTTGGAAGGACTCGCTGCAAGTTCACTTTGTGGCCTCCAATCAAGGGGGGAGTGGTTGCCCCTCCTTTGCTTGCAAAATCCTTACTACTCCGGCTGAGACGTGGAGTGGCTTCGGTGGAGACGACCCCACTCAGCCTGCTATCCTGTTCCTGGCTTACGTCATTAATAGGCTGCTCCAGGCTGGTCACTCTGAGATCTGCCTGGTTCTGGATAAACTTCCAGGTCCTTTGGATGCTACTATCACTAAGGTGAGCTTGGTTGGCACTGTTGCCTCTTCCCTTCAGGCCAACCCCACTGCCCACGTTCTTTGGTGTCGGTCAGCAAAAGATGACTTACTCATCTTACGGATGCCGCAATTGCTGCCTCAAATGCGGTTTTCCGGCTTGAGCTGGAGTCCTGGATGGACCCAGCTACTAACCGTCACCATGCTTGGAAATGGCTTCAGAAACAATGGACTGCTCGCTGGAGCAAGTCCATTGAATACAGACAAACAAAGTACTGGTTCCCTGAACCAGACCGACAATTGTCTGCTGCCCTCCTTCAGAAATCAAGGGTCGACTTTGGTCTGTGGGTTCAATTCCTCACTGGCCATTGCTGGCTCCTCCGCCACTCCAATGTGGTTGGGGAGTCAGATGACCCTACCTGCCGTCTGTGCAAGGTAGGTCCTGAGGAGCCTTATCACCTCTTCACTGAGTGCCCCGCTCTCCAATCCGAGCGCACTCTCATCCTCGGTGGCTCTAGCACCTCCACCAGGGACTGGATGCTCAGTCAACTCAACCGTTTCCTGAGCCTTCCATCTATCCGAGAACTTGTCGGCCTTCCATCCACGGTGGAAACTAGCATGGAGGTTGGTGCGGCTCCATCTGCACCCTCCTCCCCTGATAACCCCCACCCCAGCCTTGGATCCCGGTGCCCCCGCTCACGCGGCCGCCACCCTCCCTTATCTCACCTGCACTTCAGGCCTTGCCTGTCCCAGGTCTCCCTTTTTTGGGACTCCTGCCGTTCGGGGCAGTTTTGACCCTTTGCTTCCTCCCTGTGGTCATAGAACTCATTAACGTGGTGGGGTATGGGCCTTCGGGCCTCCCCCACGCCGTGCCCTCATGGGCATGGCAGCCACAGAAAAAAACAATCAAGCTCACCAGAGCCATCATCCTCAGGGACGTTGTCAACAGCATGACGAACCACTTAGCGATGCTGATGGACCAGTTCCAGGTCACTCGCGACCACCATTTCCCAATCTTGCTGATCAACAACAACATCCTCAGAATGCAAGTGCAAGTTAACAGCCAAAGCAGAAGTGAAGGACCTCCACCTCAACCTATCCGAACCGGCCTTTCTCAACCAACAATGAACCAGTTTCATTTTTTCAGACAATACCCTCATCCTCGCCTTACCAGTTCCCCTCAGCCACAAGATGATGTTCAGACCCTTCCACACATACATTTCCCTGGACAGCATCCTGAACATCAACGGCACCTTCTGGCAATATCACAACCCCAACACGATGGTCACAGACAGAGACTTCCGGACGACATTCAAGCTTACACCGGACGACATTCGAGCTTACACCGGAAGCCATCAGCAAGTGCAAAATGGTAATTCACAGAACAATTTGTTCAATGCCCACCATCATCACGTCCAACACCTGCCTGGCACAAACTATCACTGGCAGGAAACCATCCAGATGCACCGACCATCTCATCACAGCCACACCACCACTAGATGTCTTCAACAACGATGGAGTAGCATTCCTTCTCCACAAACAACCGACTCCCGCTACCGTCAAATGCCAAGCTACAACCCTTCAGACCAAACTCTCCGGCCTCCAGGAATTAATTCTACCCGAATATTGTCTCTTCACAACAGCGACGACCAAACACTTGTTTATAACAGGTCCCACCATCAATACAACAATTGCAACTACTCTGGATATTACGGAAA